TTCATTAATTTTGCATCTGTATCTGTACATATTTTGTTTTATTGACACATGGGTTAGATAACATATTTTTACTAATATCCCAAATGAAAATGTATACATTTTTGTTTTTAAGAATGCTCATGTAAGAGTTTTGTTTTTGTGCCTGATAAAGACAGAGGATGCCTCTGTGTATGTGTGTGTGTGTGTGTGTGTGTGTGTGTGTGTGTATGAGTGTGTGGATTTATGTGTTACATGTTATTGATAAAACACGTTGATGCTAGGGAAAGCAGTGGAGGTATAAAAACCAAATGATGAGGATGGATTCTACTCCCCCCCATTATAAGTCAAATCTGGCACAGATTCCTAATGCCATAGAAAGCCCTTGTGGTGCTAATATTTACTGAGCAGAAAGGAACGCTTACTGGCTGTTCATACATTCTTCACGCCCTGTATTGGAGAAGGTTATTGTTATTCACTTGATGGATAGAAATACAGAATGAGTTCTCCAAGAGACCATCACCCTGCAGGTCTGTAATTCTTTGCTGACAGTAGCACATTAGTCATTTTGGTGACTTAATTTTTGAACCTGTTTCTGTCTCCCTGGAGGCATGAGAGGAATCCTATGTAAAATGTACCCAACCTGAAAAAAGGAGTCCCAGCTCTTTACCGAGAGTAAGATAAATTAGATCTCTTTAGGAAATTTGGAAGATGTGGAAATGGGGTGGTATAGAGGAGCACATCTAAAATATTTTCAAGGACACAATGAATATTTCTTATGCTTATTTTAGAGCAGGGCTTGATAGCTTGTCTCTGGATATACAGTCTGCAATCTCAGCATGTAGTTTTTACATTTTTAAACAGTTGCAATAAAAATTAAGAAAAACATGCAGCAGAGGCCATGTGTAGCCTGCAAAGCCAAGATGCAGTCTTCTTTGGTTCTTTACACGGGTGTGTTGATCCCACCCCAGTACAACCCTATGAACATGCAGATGCATCAGCCTAGGGCACTGCACAAAGGATTAGCTTGGCTCCTTTTAAAGATAACCTGCAGCTACCTCCTGTCCACTGAGGACATCACTTTCTTCAAGGCATCCAAGTCTCCATGTGTTTATAGATTCTCACACTTCAGGGGGTATTGGAAAGGACTTTGGAGTTTAAGTCAATAAGAGGATTTCATATCTGAGGAAGTTTTAAAGAATCTAAGGATACAGACAGGGCCCGGATGTAGGCAATCTTGGAATAGGAAACTTGGAAGCTATTTGGGATTATGGTAAAAATATATACCTACAGATTCTTAGATATTCCTCTTTTCAAGAGATGGAACTTGTCAATTCCCTAGTCATTGAGGACAAGTTGCATTTGGGGACTTGGTTCTAATCAACAAAATTAAAAGTGACAACCTATCGTTTTTGTGACTGGATTACAAATGACTTCCACTTCCATCCAGGGTGTGCTGTCATGTTCACAAGCCACATGCTCTAGCAGAAGCCAGATGCCAAGGTATGAGGAGACTCATCAGCTGGCAGAGAGGCCTGCATGGCTTAAACTGAGGTCTTTAACCAACACCTGTGAGGAGGTGTCCAGAGCCAGCTCCCCAGTGAGTACATGAGGACACTTGAGTAGACTCCAGGGACATGATGGCACACTTTCTCATCAGCTGTGTGAGGAACACAGTCAAGGTTGCACCAATTTTAACTTTTCTTTGTCCTTTTTTTTTTGCATTCTTCTTTTGTTTTCATAGACCAGCTCTCTTTTGGATCCAGTTGAGTGCATCCAATCCTCCACCAGTTGTGTGAGGTGAACGTGAAACTGTGTAAAAACACTATGAAAACCCACTTCCTCCACCATTTGTAGAAACTGCTTTTCACATTCTAAGTCCACAAGAGTGAGTTTCCTTAAAAAAAAGAACAAAATAAAACAAAACACAAACAATATTGCCTATAGGGAGTTGCCTTCTTACAGGGCAAGCTGTTTGCCCCTTTTCTTCTGCTTCTCCTTTCTACTTCCTTCCTCTGCCTTCCCCCTTCTACTCTTTAGGCCCTCACTGCCCACAGAAAGCACCTGTCCCTGACTCCACCCCTTTCTTTCCTTCCTAAGCCTCTTGCTCACAGGGTCACTCAGTTCCTCCAATATGATCTAGCCCTCTTGTTTGAACAGAGAAGGAAATTGAAACATATGTGAGAAGAATTTCAGATGTGATCCCCACTGACATTTGGAATTCAATCCTGTAAAGGTTGACCTGTGCACCCTTGATGTTTTCCATTTATTGAGCACTTACCATGACTTAGTGTGATACTGTGATGTACTAAGTGATGAATGTTTGGTGTACACTTGCAGGTCCTGGAGCAGACCTCAAAAACTTGTATTTTTCAGTGTGATAGCAGTACTGGTCATTCATACTAAGCTTGTCATGTCCTGCCCAAATTTCTGTTAATAAGGTGCAACTCAGATGGACAGGTAGTTCCTGAATGATGGAACCAACCACATGACAAGAGCATCAACACTTTCCATCTCCCCACCTGACTTCTAGAGAGGGGAGAAGAGCTAGAAACTGAGTTAATGATCAGTGACTAGTGACTTAATCAGTCATGACTGTGTAATGGAGCCACCATAAAAATTCTACACAGTGTGATTCAGGCAGCTGTTGCATTATGAAATCTACATGGGCAGAAGGTCCTTGCTAAGGACCCTGCTTGATCTCACTCTATGACCTCTCCATCTGGCTATTCATTTGTATCCTTTATACCAAGTGGGTAGTCCTAAGCATAAGCTTTTACCAAATCTGAGGAGGGTGTTGTGGGACCCATTCCTCTGATTTCATAGTTGGCCTTTCAGAAGTACAATGGCCTAGACTTGAAACTGGTATCTGAAATGGGGGTATTATTGTAGGATGAACTCTTAATCTGTGTCGATTGGATGCTGACTATCATAGTATCATAATTAAATTGAATTATACAACACCCAGTTCCTATCCAGACAGAGAAATTGTCTGAGTGAGAAAAATATCGTACATTTTGTTCTTTTTTTTTTCAGGACCGGGGATTGAACTCAGGCCCTTGTGCTTGCCAGGGAAGGGCTTATTCCACTGAGCCATCTCCCTAGCCCCATCCATCTCCCCAGCCCCAATCATACACTTTGTATCAGAAGTGTTACAAGTAAAAACAGATCTAGTAGCCATAGTGATAATACTTTAAGATTTATGTGAAATGCTTTGCTTGTATTATCTTATTATACTATCCCCCCAAAATCTATAAGGTAGCTACTATTCTTATCTATCTTTCTATCAAAATCTATCATTTATCATTTTATATGCAGTGCTATGGATCAAACACTGTACTCTGTGCAAGCTATGCAGATACTTCACCTTTGAGCTGTACTTTCAGCACTTTTTTGCCTTATTTTTTAGATAAGGAAATTTATACTTCCAATTAAGTAACATATTGAAATTCCTATTTATTAAAAAATCTAAATCTTGTCTAAATACTTTAAGATTATGCACATTTTTAGATGCTCACTTTCTTTTTAGTCTCCAGAGTACTACTAATATTTAGTATACTACTGTAACAAATTCTGGGTTCTTTTGTACAAGCTTGTCACGACCTGAATCTCTCAAAGATCTTTGCTAATGTGGATGTCAGAAACTTCTGGTAAGTAGATTGAGCTGTTGATAAGTAGCCACAAATCTGATATTCTAAAGGCTATTCTCTGCCCCAGAAAAGAAGAGTTCTTCAAACCTCAATTACATATCAGACCACTATCCCAGAGAAGACAGAGGCTTATGGGCTTCCTGGAACTATAGTCATCACATTGTTTGGGGTAACAACAATTTATTTTCATGTGTATTTGTCTCTTAGTTCCTAAGCAGCACTTTAATCAACGATTTACCTTATTTTAACATTTTTCTCCCAGTATACTTCATTCAAGAGAAATGATTTACAGTCATGATACATTCCCTTTGTCCATTTGCTTATTCATTAATTCATTCATTTGACTATCCACAAATAACTATGGAGACTAGTATTTAAAAATGACATTTCTCTAAAGTACTAGCATCCCTTTCACTTATGGAGGTAAAGATGCATATGAGAGTTTATGGCTGCCTGTGACTCAGTTCATTTTATTTTTTTATAACATGCTGCCTGCTTTGACTAGAGTTGAACTGTTAGAGTAGAAATTTGTTATCCTGGAGATGAAAAAGCGGCCAATAGACAGTAATAACTGACAGTTTTCAACAAAAAGAGTAAAGTTCTATAAATTGAAAAAGAAAGACACAAACCAAGAAGTACAGTCCAAATTAATGTATGTTATAATTTTTAGGAAACTGGCTTTTTATTTCGTTCCTCAGCTGAAACTTCACTGTTAGCTCACGAGGGCTTATAAGCCTTTTGACTAGGACCTGCTGGAGAAATAATGGCAGGCTTACTGAAAGGGGAGCAACCATAGATGGCCAAAAAGGTTTAGACAGAAAGGAGAGCAAATACTTTATTATTTCTTGGGAGAAACTACACACAACAGGAAGATAATAATCTGACCACATTCTCTTCCTGGAAACTAGCAAGACTGCCTTCCTGCCCTGAACATAATTTTGCTGCATTGGGCTAGTTTTTAACTACATAAACTATTTGAAAAGGCATTTGCTTTCTGGAATTTCTTTTATAGAGCAGAGATAGATAAAGGTATTTATTTCTCAGAAGAAGTAATGGTAATAGCAAAACTAGTAACTACCCCTTTTGTTTACCCAATATAGGTTCACATGACAGGGTTTTTTTTTCTATATTATTTTATTTCTAATCTTTGCCCAAATACTGAGGAGTGAGGAATAATAGTATTTCTATTTTACAGATAAGGAAAAAAAAAGGCTAAGAGAATTTACTGAAGTCTACAGACCACTGAATGGAAGATCTGGGATTCAAACCCCAGTCTGGCTACAGTCCATATGCTTTCAAATTTGATATACTGGGTGGCTGTCTTTGGATCAGGAAAACTTTCACAACTAAGTCTGTGGAAATACTTGTTGCCGTGCTCACCTCGGCAGGGCTTACACTAAACTTGGACCAACACAGAGAAGATTAGCGTGGCCCCTGTGTGTGGATGACATGCAAATTCATGGAAGCATTCCATATTTAAAAAAAAAGTAGTCATAGTCATATAATTAAATATTATGTAAAATTATATTTCAATTGCAATTTAATTTAATTTCTGGGCATACTGTTCAATGTGAAATCATCACTGCCTTTTATTTTAGAAATATATTTTCTTTCTATTCCCTGACCCAGTAAATATCTCTTTGCATTCCAATAACCCTCTAAGGGCATCTTATAGTAGTTGAGAGATTCCATGTTTGGTCACATTTCATTGATTTCTAAATTTGTGGTCAATGAAGCTAGACTGCTTCAAACATGTCCTTATCAAAATTAGGATTTAGAAATCTAACACTGTAGAATATCCATTATCAAGGAGAAAACAGAAGCCTCAGGATTCCAGCTTCTAATATCTAAACCTGAATTAAATTCAGGTGTTAAACCCATAAACTGGCTTTTCCCATCACTTCTAAGCTTTATTCTCTCTCTCTCTCTCTCTCTCTCTCTCTCTCTCTTTCTCTCATCACAATACATTAACAGTAGCCACTGTTCAAGGTTTATTTGGTATTGTAGTTGGTGTAACATTAGGTGGCATGGTTCACAGGTAGATCTTTTGTTTTTAATACAAAAAATAAAATCCTTTAAGACAGTTATGCACAAGACATGCAGTATTGGATTTGTACACTGGATCCCAGGCCGTGACCAACAGGGGAAAGGTCAGACAAGGCTTCATGGGTGAAGCTGTGCAACCGAATAACACACATCTTTTTGCAGGGTGACTGGAGTCTGCACAGCATTAGCTGAGGTGTTTCAGAGATGCTGGGCTACTTCATACTAACCAGGACTACAAGTAAAGCACCATCTGGCATCAGGACAGAGCTGTGGGGTTTTGTGAACCGTTTCTGCTTCTAACTTTCAGAAGCTAGTGTTTTCCCCAGGCCATCTTAATATTACTGCTTCAGTCACATGCCAGATAAAAAGGACACCTGGCACAACTCCAACTAAATCCTCCTGTAGGTTAGACCGTGACATGGTGACACTGGAAGGCTTTAAAATTGCAGCTCCTTCTGGATCAACCACAGCATATCTGCCCTCTTCTTCAAATGTGCCTCTTCCTCAGGAGTCAGAGTCACCTTCACAACATCAGAGATCCCATTCTGTCCCAGGAAGAAGGGACACTAAGGAAGACACCATTCTTGATTCCATAGAGCCCCTTAATCCTGGTAGAAATTTGATGCACCCTCTTAAGATTCTTTTAAATACTTCCTGCCAAATCTGCCATATATAGTACAACAGCCCAGGATGAGTAGCCTTTTAGTTTGATCACTGTCAACCACCTGCTTGTGAACTTCTTTCCAATGCTCCTCATCCCCATCAGTTCCTAACTCAGGGTGCAGATTCTTCAGAGTAACACCAGCAATATTCATGCCACTCCACACAGGGCTGCTGGAATCTCCATACTCTCCAAGGATCCAGCCAGGGCAGCTCAGTGAGTAAGTAAGCTCCATTAAGTATCAGAACGGGGCTGAATTCAGGTTACAACTACCTTGGATAACACGGTTCTTGGGAAAGCCCATCATCTGCCAAGCCACATAGGTCAAGATAACCACTGGGTTGGGTACAACAAGCGACTTGCAGTTGGGACTGTACTTTACAACAGTAGGAATGATGAACATGAAGATGTTCACATTATGTTGTACCAAATTAAGATGGCTTTCTCCCTCTTGCTGATATGCTCCAGCAGTGATAATAACCAGCTTGGAGTTTATGGTTACATTATAGGCTTTGTCAGCAACGATTTTTGGTGTGCTAAGGAAGAGGCTGCCATGTTGGAGATCCATCATCTCTTCCTTCAATTTGTCTTCCATGACATCAACAAGAGCAAGTTCATCTGCCAAGTCCTTTATTAAGATACTGAAGGCACAGCCCATGCCAGTAGCACCAACCCTGACAACTGTGATCTTATTCTGGGGCACCTGTTCCTCCTTAGGGAGATTCACAATCAGCTGATCCTTGAGACTGACCATCTTGGACTTAGAACCAAAAGGAACTGGGAATGTACATGGGGCAAGCATTGGGGCATGTGCTCCTCAGGTCTGGCCTTGGGGTAGCAGCTTTGGCACTAAGTTCTCCTTTCTTTCTTTCTTTTTTTTTTTTTTGAAGCAATTTTTTTTTAGATTTATTTATTTATTTATTTTTGTTTTGTTTTGTTTTTCTACAGTTTTATTGATAAACAGATAGCAATGAGACAGTTTCAAATCAAATCGGAAGTACAGTTTCAACAAATAATACACTGCATATATTCTTCTTAGTGGTTAATTGCTGTACAAGATGCGGACTTGTGATCCTATTTACAAACACCATTAGAACAAATCATTCTATTCATTAACACAATGCAACTATATATCTACCCCATAAGTTCGCCTTTCGAAAAGCATAGGAACTGTGACCTGCAGAACAGCCCTGAAGGTCACTAGTCAGTGAAACATGTTGCTGGTAAATCTATTAATAGATGATGAAGTCCAACATTCCCTAATTTAATGGGCAGTAGACAAGGAAATCCAGTAGTTCAACACCAAGAGGGGAGTACTTCTGAGCCGCTGCCAATTCATAAACAACAGGCTTCTAAAGACCAGGTTACCAAACAAGCCAGAATATCTCTCAATAAATAGAAGCTCAAATTTCACCTTTGCCTGGGGCTGCCATGGAAAATGAAGTCACTCATAAATAGTATTTTGGGCATTCCTTTGGTCCACTGTCAAACAGGTTGGAAATATAGAAGGACATTTAAAAAAAAGGAACAGCTTAATTTTAAAAGTCCAATCTGACGTTTCCTTCCAAAGCTCTCTCTTTTAGCCTAACAGTGCTATTTATGCCTGTATAGCCTATTCTCACTCACAGGATCCTTTCCCCAATGTCCTATGAACTCACTCCATGACCAAAGTCATGTCAGATTCTTTTCCCTTACCCTTCTGGTGTCTTCTGACTTTCCTTACCATATTGATCTCCATTTTATACACCTGTGCTCCATCTGCTCTCACTTGCCAATGCCTTTTAGCCTCTGCACTGACCTCTGGTTGGCTGTGCATTTTCCACAGCTTGTCTTCACACTTCCAGTCTTCAAGGTAGGACAACTTTAGGTAGAACCCGTGTTCCTCTGAAAATACTCTTTGGTTTTTCACAACAATAAGCAAGAGGGGAGTGGATAATAGACTCCATTATTAGACACACAATAAGTCCTCTTTCTTTTATTTTCTATTGCAGAAAATAAAGGACACAAGAACTCAATCATAAAATAATATTTTCTGATAACTAACTATAATAGAATGTGCACAACCCAGCTTTCCTGCTGACAGTTCCCTTGTTTTTGTATGGGGGAACTGCTGAGCTTCCACTTTCAATCCATGAGTTACATGGTTGACCACTCCTCCCCACCAATTGCAAAGCTGTCAAGGGAACCTGGCCCAGGGAGAGTGCTTTTTGTCTCTGAACCTTGATAACTGGCTAAGTATAGGCAATTGGTCAGTGTCTGGCCAATCAGCATCAACAAAGCTTGATTTCAGATCTTTTACCCAGTGTTGTGAGAGAAACATGACATTTTTACTGGGATCCCTAACAGTTGCTGGCTCCTTCTTCACAGAGAAAGAGAGTATCTGAAGTAAACCCAATGGAGAGACAGAGCACAGAGAGGTGCACAGCAACCATGTCCTGACAGAATCGCTGAAAACCCTGAGCCCAAACCACATGGATTTTTCAAAGATGGGCTTATTAAAGTGAATTGCAAGTGGCATTTACATCCTTCAACTTGAGTCTTAGCCTATGCAAACTACCTAGAAGATTACTTGTGGCTCATCTGCTTTTATACATCAGTAACACACTGGGAGTTCTAAAAATTACTGATTTCAAAATATATAGAGACTGATGTGTACAAGCTCATCCACTCATCGTTTCAGGGCCTCAGCCAGGCTGAGCTGCACTGTAGCCATCACCGGAAAGCCCCTACTGAGTGTAGGAGTACGGCATTGCACATTAAAGATGCTTTCCAAAAACTGCCTCAGAAACAATGCTGTGACTGCCTTTTACTTATTTGATTATCCATTTATTTTATATCCTCCATCTTATGCCCTCATTTATCATCAAAACTGTCAGGTAGAGAAATATATAT